GATCCATATAGATATAATCAGTAAAAAAAGTAAAAAAAAAAATGTGGCCTTGGAAGAGGGCAAGCCAGATCTTGAGGGAGCAAACAGTCTTGGGGGTCCAGTGATACCCCTGTCAGGGATACCAATATTGGCTCTAGCCCACAGCACTTCCAATTATTTTTGTTGTCATATCACCTTATTAAGTCAGAAAGAGTAGATACTTTTTTTAGTGAGTGTACATTGATACTTATTCAAATAGGAACATGCTCTTGTTCATATATGAACAACCACATAAATCAGGGGTACACACCGACTGTGCTTGAACAAACAAACACACTGACACCCTATTGTCAATTTCTTCACAAACAGCTACACATGTAGACACCCAACTTATATCTACCCTAACTCTAACCCCACTTCCACCCATCAATCCACAATCTCCCTTTAAACCCAACCATCAAAACACACACACACACACATACACCCCCACCCTACCTCCCTACCAAAATTCCATTCCTACTGTAGTGAGTCCTCTACAAATTTGCAAGTCACTACACTTCTGATTTTTGCCTCGTGTGATAACTGTGAAATCAATCCTTATCCAGCAGCCAGCATTTACTGATTATTTCCACTGGGCCTATGGGTTGATGATAAGTAGGGTTTATACTCTTAAGATTCTATAAATCATTGTTGATACATTTTGACTATTCTGACAATTTCATAGATATCAGTATTGCCAAAGATTAATTTTTGGAATGAATACAGTTTTACTTCTCACTGCAGTATGGTTTAGCTGGTCAGAGGCAGGCAATTATGGCAGGATAGGGGAATTTTTTGTGTGTGTGTGAATTTTTTTTTTGCGAATTATTTGCAGACTCATCCAAATAATTTCCATTCGCCATTTTTTGGTTGGCGTCAGTATGGCCACTCCTGATGTTGTTTTCACATTCTTTTTGAATGTTTTTCTAAAGGTAAATTTGCTGGATGAAATTATGTAATCATATGTGTTTTATTGAGTTTTTTATCTATATATTATTTCCTGAAGTACAGCCGATGATGCATCTGACTTTTACGAAAGATCCTATTGTTTTATCACGGTAGAAGGATTAATTTCCATCATAGTGTGGCTCTGCAGTGAACAAAATCAGCTGGGCAGATTTTCTCTTGAATCTCCTCCAACTTTTCTAAGTGAATGGAAAATTGTGCTTCACTCAGGGATGGGATTTCATCTTTCTTTCAGAAAATTTCCTTCCTCTGGATATGGTCCTCCTTGAGCATCTGCTTTTATCATTTGAAGAAGGTGTACTTTTTTTTCCTTTCCTTTCCTTTCATTTCTTCCTCTCCCCTTCCCTCTCTCTCCCCCTCTCCCTCTCCCTCTTCTTCTCCCTTTCCCGCTTCTACTCTTTCTCTCTCTTTCTCTCTCTTGCTCTCTCTCTCTTCTCCCCTTTCTCAATCTCTTCCTCACTCTCTCCCTCTCTCAATCTATTTATCTATCCATCTCCATCTTATTTTTTTTTCTCTTTCTTCCTTGTCTCTATGTATTTGAATTTTATTTCCTCTTGCCTCGTAGTGCCATTCTTTATCTTCTATTTTAATTTAATCATTACACCCGTAGAAGTAGTGGTAAGGCAAAGAGCAATAGAAGAATATAATTAAAAGGGAAGAGAAACTTTACACTGCATAGAGATGAATGCAGTGGGCTCCGTGTTGCAGCATAAATTTAGCATGCAGTGAGGAACCACGGAGAGAGAGGATGTTGATATTAGAAGATTTTTTTTTTTTTTTTAAGAAGAAAGAAAGATTAATTACTAAACTAGAAGGTAAGTTTAAGACAGCTAGTATCCAACTGCTCTTCTAGATGGCATCTTTGGCAGCTACCAATTGGCATACAAACCTCTTCCGGTGATTCCTGCTTATCCTGGAGTACAGCTCAGGATGTTCCCCCAGGTTAGTCCCTAGACATTAAGACCAACACATGCTATTAAGGCAACAGTACCAGGCTGTTGGGTTTGATTTCAACAACAGAGTTTCCTTTGTTTTTTTTACTGTGTTTGTTTGGCTTGTTATGTGTTAATGAAAGCAGAAATAAATGATGCAGTTGATATTATAGTAATAACACTGTAGAGCATTGGTGAAGGGTTGCCTTCTATTTTGCCCTAAAGTCCTGGTATTTTGCCTAAGTAGTCAGTGTTTAGGTGGGTGGGTGAGAGGTATTCCACAGGTATTTAGCTCCGGAGATCTGTAGCTGGTCCCGTCTACATTAGGAAGCAAGGAAGCCAACTGTTGTATCCACAAAATAATGGATTCAGATGATCCCACAGATGGCTCTGCGCTGCCACCGCCTGGCACAAACCCCTGGCTGTTGTGCCTTGTCTCTCGTGTACGACTGCCTCTCATTGCTTCACGCAAGGTACCTTGTTCATGATGGGCTTGATGCAATATACTCCTGTGCATGCATGGGACAAGTTTGACTTTTACTGCAAGGAAGACAGTGATATTCTTTATAGGAATGAAAAAAGTCACATTCACTCAACTGGGAATAATTGTCAATATCCTCATCAATATCTGTAAAAGTTTCTGTATGACCATATTCAGCATTTAGATAGTTTTACTTAATGGATGATGTCAGAATGTATATCCAAATTCTGTTTTGATATATATTTATGTATTTCAAGTGAAACAAACCACAGATCCTTACTGTAATTTGAAGTTATCATTCAAACAGAGTGTGGGAATGACATGAATAGAGTAAAATTTTAAATTTTTAAAATTATCAAAGTTTTGTATCATCAAAGTTTTTCCACTGAATATTTTTGTATGAAATGACATTGCTAATAATATTTATGTCAAAGTATAGAGCTTAGGAATATAAGGTCTTGTCTTGAAGGTGATCAGGTTTA